AAAGTCTTCCCACGGAGCGGTCATGAAATGACAACGACAATGAGGGCATTCCGCTGTGAGCCGCAGACTCGAAAGAAAACCACAAAAGAAGGGAATTGTTCACGGAGATCGCGATTTCAACTTCCCGATTCCGACTCGTTTGGAAGCAGGGTCGAACTCGAAATAATGATCAATAAGCATACGATCGAAGAAAAACCAAATATTCCGTTGGGACTCCGAGATCAGGAGTGAACAAACATTAGATACATTCACGGCATAAATCTTGTATGTCGCCGTGAATGGAGTTATGCCCTTAGGGCCCAAGTCGAACCTCAACAGTGGCAACTTACTCATGTATTGGCAAGGGAAGCACCATTTCCTTGCCCTATTGAGCTTGAAGTGGACATGCGTACCCGCAGCCTTGTCAGTTTGAGCTTTAATATCCTCAATGAGGCCGTTATAGTATAATTTTGGGACGGCTAGATAATTGGAGCCGGTGTCGAGGCACAAGTTCATATTGATTCCAAGAGTTATATGTCCATCGCCGACTTGTAGCTTGTCAATATTTACCATGTAATATTTCTCCGTAGAGAAGTCGATGTACTTCAGTCCCCCTTCATATAATGCAGGATCGCCTCCACCCAGGAGTAGGCCTCCATCCACGGTTTGCTTTGAGGGATCAGCGGGAGGATACAAGTAGAGAGCAAAGATACCCGTCGTTACAATTTTTGATGATAGCAACTGCTTCATCAGAGACGGGAAGTTCACATCACCTTGATCATAGCCAAGACCCATCGAGTTAATCGGAGCGTCTTCACTGAAGGGAGAATTTTGGTCGAATATGAGCCCGAAAGTGAGAATCGGCGACACCCGACCCACCGTCAATTTTGCTTTATGCTGAAAAATTTTCACCGTGTATCCATCCGCGTAAGTACAAGTTCTCGTCACTTTACCCACAGAGCAAGGCTCCGAACATTTGTAACACCCCATGGCCCAATCACTGCAGAGACTTCCACTGGCTTTCTCAAACCAATTCTTCCAGATGAGAAAGAAGGAGCCCGCCCCAGTGTCAACGTGAGCCTGTAGCTCCTGGCCATTCGAATCGACCAGAGTATGAAACAATCCGAAGCCAAATCTAGGCATATATCCGTACTTCACATCGAGCTTGAGAGTTTCTCCCCGGGAGACCTTCAACACGTGAAATACATAAACCAAGGCGAGTAGTCGAACGGGCATAGG